GTACGGCGGAACTGTTTCGGGCCACTGGAAGTGACTGCAATTCCTTCAAAACCAGAGAACACAAAGTGGAAAGCTGCCGAAGGCTTTTTCTTACCTGCGTTGAACTGATTAGGCCTATAATTAACTCTGAATTTAGTCCTTAATTAATTAACTCCTTAGTTAATTAATTTAGTTTAACTTAGTTTCAAGTCGATTGAGTCTTTGATGTTGATCAATTCAGTATATATGTATATATGTCTATACATCTCTATGTATACATATATACTGAAGGAAAGAATGACGACTAAAAACGTTAATAAGTTACAATCATCCCAAAAGGGTTTTGAAGAGGCAAGCGATGTCGTCGAGCATCGACCCCGCAGACTTACTTTCAATCGCGATTTTGTTGACGCCATTTTCCGTGTAAAAGATCGTGTCAAAGACCATTTGGTTGCGACCGTTGACAGTCGAAAAGGTGTTCTCTTTGACTCCCAAATCGTCGCAGATCTCTTTAATAGTTTGTCGTGCTTTCTCGACGTTCGTGCATTCCTCACAAACGACTTTCTTCGTCTCAAAGTCGTTTTCACTGTTTTGTGGTATTGCGCTGTTAGCTGTTGGGACTGCAAAGAATGTTGACAGTTCCGAGCGATTAAGTTTGTTGCAAGTTGTCGTTTCTAATGTTTCAGACTTTTCTGTTTCGCAGTTTTGTTGAAGAGAAGATTGTGACGCTGCGGTGTACATTTCTTTAATAGTGTTTTGATTCGGTGAAGTCAATTCCATAAGTACTTTGTCGACTGTTAGATATGGAAAGACTTGAACAATATTATTAATAATATCTTTTCGTGGGTATTCGATGGGTTGGTATGACCTATGAGGAATTGGTGTTTCCACAAAGTTGTCAAAGTGTTTTTTCAGAAATGGGTGCTCGAAGATCTCTTTGAGGGAAATCCGTTTGGTCGGGTCTTCTTGCAACATTTTGTATAGCAAATCACCAGACCCGCCGTTATCAGAGAATTCATGTACAACAGGCATGTACCCATATAACATGACATGTAAAAGTATTCCACACGAGTAGATGTCTGCATAATATGGGTTATATGGTATTCTATTTAATACTTCAGGCGCGGTATATTCGGGCGTCCCGTTATATTCTTGAATTAATGGACAGTCCGCGTAATACGAATATCCAAAGTCAATCATTTTGATTTGCGTGTGTGTCGAGTCGAGCAACACATTTTCAGGTTTGATGTCTCTGTGGCTTCAAGTCAGTTCTTTGTCGTTCTACAATTATGAAGAATTAAAGAGTGTTGCATATAAATTGATAGGTGTTCGAATAACAAATCACACAACTATTAAAATGTACATTTATATATATATTGTGTTCTAAACTCTCGTTTGGAACACACTTGCAAACTTAACTTGAGGACTTAACCGTATGAACTATCACCCAATCAAATTAAATTGGCAAGTATTTCCAAAACGTAGCCGAAAGTGATTTATATATTTAGAACATGGAAGTCCTTCGGACACACAAATGGACGTTTTTTCGGCCGCGTTTTGGAATTTTTGTGGGACGAAAAAAAATACATGTCATTGATTTAAAGTAATGTCAAAAAAAAGCGCAAAACAAACCAAATTCCTTTTGAGTGTAAATAAGCTATACACCTCAGCACTTGGCAAAAGATGCGGGTCGACATTTCTGTACCAAGAGCTCCTTTATCACGGATCAATTCATAAAGCTCTCCCCCTGGGACATAGTCGAGTATTAAAAATATATGTGAAGAGTTTTCATACACATTATGAAGTTGAATGATATAATTTGACTTAACGGTTCGCATAAGGAGAACCTCGCGGTTGATCCGCGCTTTAAATTTCACATTTGAAAAAAGTTGCTTATCGACTATCTTGATCGCGTACTTCCTCCCCGTCTTTAAATCAAACGCCAAAAACACTACCGCCGTCGACCCAAACCCAACACGCCGCCCAAGAACAAAATCACCGATTTTGTAGACCGTCAGGTTACATTGCTCCATCTTGTTTTTCAGTTTAAGCTTCTTCCCCGCATTTTTTGTTATTATGTTCCTGTTTTTTTCCCATAAATGTTCCATCGTTCCACCTCTTCAATCTCATTTTCTCATTCACTTTTTCATTTAAGCATTACCGCCTTGAAGAAGTTTTTTCATTTGAACACTTGTTTTTCGTTCCACCCTTTTTGTCTTGTGGGATCAAATTGCGTGATTTGCCGAAAAGCAAATCACTTCATCTTTTTTTGTATTTTTGTGTGAAAAGTCTTTTTGTCTTTTTTATTTGTTATTATTACGTAAATTTAATGCAATTTGTTGGGATGTTGCAACAATTCTATTTTTGGAATTTTTGATTTATCTTTTTTTTTGAGAATGTCTTTTTTATCAAGTTTAAATTGAATTTAGGTATTTTTACGTGTGATTTTCGGGAAATTGCGCGAAATAATCATTACAAATCAAAAAATTTTTTAATTCGATATGATAATATTATAATTGTTTTTATCATTCATTAAAATTATTAAAATAATTAAAATTATTAAAATTAATAATAACAAATACTATAATTTCAATTTTTTTAATTTAACTCAACATCATTCAAACTAATTATTCGATATTATTCAGATCACTCCTTTTCAAACAAGTAATTTGCAGCCAATTCCATATTCTTTTTGCAGACTATATAAGCCTCAATAGCGAGTTGTCTTGATGCGCCAAGTCCCATTAACGTTTTTATATTATTTTCGTCTTCTTGAGTTGTTATTTCAGTAACATCAGTCGCATCACTCATTCCTTCATCTTCGTTTTCGTCTTCTTCTCCGTCATCTGATCTTTCACTTTCTGAAATTTCATCATCTTCACAATCTTCGCCTAAATCTAATTTGTGTCGCATTAACTGTTCCATCGTTCCAACAGACAACCCGTCGTTTTGTGTCGGGGCTGTTGATTTTTCATTTTCGGTTTTTTGTTGCGTTTCGATGAGTTTTTGGATTTCCTGTTGTGAGAGCACACCTGACGCGACCAATTGTTCGATTTCATGTGTTGACAAATTGGTACCAAATTGTCCTTCTGTTTGTGATTCGTTTTGGGTGCCAAATTCCTCGTCTGCCATTTCATTAACCAAATAATCCCGTAACAACTCGGGATTGCTTCGGATTTGGTCGGCCAACTCAGGATCTTCGTCTTCGATTTCATTAATAATATCTTCGATCTCATCTTCGGATAATTCAAAATTAGTTTCAAATGGTAATTCATTGTTATGAGTTTGAATCGTTTCGGATGTTGGAGCAAAAACGTCACAAGAAACTAAAGGATTTCCTTTTAACTCAACTAAAGCCTTTTCTTTATCGTTTTGGGTCTTTTTGAGGGCTTCACGTGCTTTTGACTCGGCGTACCCTTGTGCGACAAATTCCAAAACGATTTTTTCGTCGACTTGAATTTCGTTGAAATTTGCTGGTGGAGCTTCGTTGGAATTTTCATTTTTTTCAACAGAATTTTCGTTGGAATTTTCAGTATTTAAAAGTTGAGATGTTTTTTGAACGGCTTGCTTATTAATAATAACAACAAAAGTGGTATTTTCAGTGTAATTTATAGATGAAAGGGTTTGTGTGTCATCACGTAACATTCGTGATTTGTAACAAATTGCTATTGATGCAACATCTTTATTATCATGTGTGGCTATGTTCTTCCGAAGATCACCAATGGTTTCTGTGGGTTCCATTGTGAATATGAGTGTTTGTTTTGTTAATGTTGTTGCTGTAACTTTCATTGTTAAATGTGTTTTTTAAGTTACATAAAGCTATTTTAACTTTTTATTTGTTGTTGGTAATATCTAAGGTTTTTAAAATAGTAATTAGATATTTAATTTTATTAATTATTTGTTGTTTTTATTGTTATTGAATCTGAAACAAAAAATGTTATTATAATGTTATTAATATTCAAAGAATAAAAACTATATTATATTAAAATAAAATAAATTATTTGTAACAATTTATAATGTATTATTTATTAATTATTTTTATTATAAAAAATAACTTAAAAATACATGAGTTTTCAAACCATTATTCATCAAAAAATTCTATTATATATTTGTTATAGAAAAACAGTTTCTTAAATTAAATAGAAAACAATGAATCAAACAACACAAACAAGTGATATTAATGCTTTCCACAACAACAAGAGCAGTGTGTGCATGAACACGAACATCCACTCTGTGGGTTGTGTGTGCAGTTGACAACCTTTGAGACGCCACAAGTACATTTTGCAACCAATCGACATCCATTTGAACAATCTGTTGTGATGACCATACGATCAGATGTGACAGTTGTCTCATACTTCCCATCTACTTTCTTTCCTTCAACACGTCCACTTGCTCCACATTTGCACTTCAATTCACAGAGGCATGTCTCTTGACTTCTTGAGCATGTTGCGGTGATGTCTTGACTGTTACAGTTCAGGTTACACTCAGTAGTATTCATTCTCTGCCTTCTCGTTTGCTGAGAGTGCTTTTATACACCAGAAAGTCCACTCGACGTCCACTCTCTTCTGATTGGCTGTTTTTTGGTCCGCCACGTCAGCAGTCTATTCATGTAAACTATAACAGTTAGTTAATTTACTATAATTGAGAAGTTATATTTCTGACTGTTTTTGACCAGACGCTTTTTTCTCATTCCTCACAATTTGTTTTAAACTAATCTACTTAGTTAATATTATAAATATTAACTAAGTAGATTATATATTTATTAATAATATACCGAATTAGATCAAGAAAAATGTAAACATTAAGTTAATTAGCAAGTGATAATATTATAAATCAGAGAACACAATTCAATTATTGTTGGTTGTTAAAACAACACTAACAAGATTAAATATAGGAACGATAAATGACTAAAAATTCCAAAAATATATTCATTTGAATTATTGATGTCGCTTTGTGTTTTAAAATAATTTTCTTTAGTATATTCAATTTTTTTTGTTAAACTACTTTTTGAAGTGGTAGTTTATCTTTAATAATCATTGTTTCTTTATCTTAAATATAATGCTTATCTGATATGATAAAACTTTAATAAATTTAAATGTAAAGCATTTGTGGTCTAAGGGCAGAATTCCACCCTTCCAAGGTGGAGATCCGGGTTCGAGTCCCGGCAAATGCATTTTTGTTTTTTAATTGTATAGTTTAGTTATATTATAATATACAATATATAATTTTTAATTATATGTAATGATATGACGATGTCGTGTTTTATTATTATTAAACTTTCGTTTATATAATTTATCTTTAATACTTAAATTCCTTTCAAACATTTTAAACCCATTTCCATATTTGGGCTCAAATATTCTTAAACACTGGGAACTTTTTAATAATAAACTTTGGCATTCACCATCTCTATTAGAAAAAATTTTTTACTTGGCGATTTGAATAAAGAAATTTACATTTCAATAACAAATTATTAATTCTCTAAATTGTTTTGATGTTTAAAGAAAAAATACCCACGTATTTTGTATCACAATAAAACATTTAAACAAATTACTGATCATCGAAAGCCAATTTTAATTTCTTTGAGTAATTTGTAAATTAATTCTTAAGTGTCTTCTATAAAATATATTTTCTCAATAATAATATTATTGAAAACGATTTCTTGTTATAAAATGTATAACAAATCACATTTAGAATGTTGAATTTCACAAATGAATGTTTATTGATCTAAAATATTACATTTTCCAATATCTTTTTGATTCCGTTTAAAATAACACTTTTAATTAATTAATAATTTCACTCTTTTATTATCATTTGGAAAATAAAATCAATTTTAAAATGTCAATGTGATCTTTTTAGATTGTGATTCAAACAATTAAACTTTTCAACGTTTTATAACCAAACTCTAAAATTGTAATCAACTGGACTTTTGATCAGTCAGACTTTTTTAAACACATTTTTTTTTGCGCTACAAACCATCTATTTTTTTCAAAAACGTTTACAACCAATTCAAATGTATTCAAATAATAAAGAACGTGTTTTACAATCAGGTAGAAATTAAAAAGTGAATTTAATATTATAAGTAAACTTTGGTGTGTTGCTGCAAATCATTTTCAAAGCAGTCAAACATCATTTTAAACCTTTTTGAATATTATTCAACTTTGAAATTTTTTAATGTACAAATCAATGTTATTTATGACAATCACTTTTTTATCAACATATGCTGAATTGAACTTCTTGGGTTTGTCTTATAAAAATTCATTTATAAAAGTAAATAACAATAACTCAAATATTGCTCAATTTATGAAATATTGAATCATACTTTCCAAAAATCTTTTTTAATTAAAAATCATTATTTTATTATAAAATCAAAACTATTTCATGATATCAAATTCAAATATATCAAATTTATTAATTCTTTATACTAATGATTTTTTTATTATACAATAAATAAAAATGAATTTTAATTGGATGTTTTTTTAGTAAGATCTAATAGTTAGTAATTATAACAAAAATTATAATAATATCTTAAAATCAGAAACAAGAAGGAATGGAGGAGGATTTCCCAACAAAACGAAAGTGTGAAGACTATGTCCCATTGCAAAAACAAATTATCACAAGTCAAGGCATTATTTGCGTTCCTCCAAGACAAACACAATTAGTTGAACCACAAACACTGTTTTTTAATAAAAAACACGCCGAAAAAGTTACACCAAGAGACGAAAAATTATTCCACGTTTTCGACTACCGCGAGGAGTTTCAAAAGACATTAACGCGTGACATGCAGACAGTGAAATTTCAGAAATTCCTCAACGAAACAAAAACCCTGAAAACCTCAACACTTCAGAATTCAGAAAAAGTTGTGAAAATTAATATGACTTATAATCATCAAAATGTATATATTCAGCCATATGTGGTATTTATGATGAGTGTATTCAAACGGGGTGACGAGGCTGTATGGTCGGAGAAGAAAGAAGCATGGTTCTATGTCTCTGAATATGGGGAAATAGTGCTCAAAAACGCGTTTATAGAAGGGTCCACTTTCTTCAGCTCGTTGAAGTGTGTGGCGAAAATTATCAATGACGTCCACCTCTACATCAACTTTCTTGTCAGAAATGCAGAGACACATGTTAAGTGCCTTTTTTCCGTTTGTTAAATATGCTTTCGTTCCAATTTCTCAATCACAAACACTCACCTTCAGTTCAAAGAAAAGGGTGATCTAAAATTAGTTCATTCTTTTTTTGTTTTTTAATGTTTTGTTGTGGTTTAGTTTATGTCTTTATATCATTATAGTATAGTTCAAATCAAAGCCTTCAATTTGCACTAAACTAATAATTTATAATATAACAACTATATAAGTTATTAAAAATGCTTTTCACATCTTTGAACATTTTTTCAACAAATTAATCAAGATCTCATCTCAAAATATAATAAATGAGTAAAGTCACCGTCACTTTTGCTCTTTGCGGTTTGATTTTAATTAATAAAAAACGTTTCTAACTCACAGGCGATACAAATGTGGGAAAGAGTTGGCTCTTTTCGAAATTCATTCGTGGCAACAGTTTGTCAATAACATTTTCAATGACATTTTTTCAAAAACATTTTCAATAACACTTCAGCAATTGATGTCAAATCTTCCACGTCGTGCGACGTGGCAATCAAAAAGATTGTAGTTGACGGACGCCCCTTCAACATCCAGCTTGTTTGTTTGAATTTAAATGAATAGTAAAATGAACTATAATTAATGATACAGTGGGACACTGTAGGTCAAGAGGTGTACCGAAGTACGACAACTTCGTACTTCAGAAACCGCCACGTCATTCTTTTTTGTTTTGATTTGAGTGCTTCGGGATCGTTGTCATCTGTCGAAAGTTGGCTTAATGAGGTGAAACAAACACAGCCAAATTCATCAGCACTGAAAGTCCTTGTTGGGTGTAAAAGTGATATGTCCTCAAAACACCCAACAGCTGAGATTGATGGCTTTTTAAAGAAAAACGAAATCCAAAATTATTACAGTTGCTCGGCTCTCTCGTTTGTTTTTACTATATAGTGTAGTTTATTTATAGTATTTTTACGTTTACTGGAATGAAAGAAATCGGTACTATAATTTATCACTTGAGAAACTAAAAGAATTAAAGGTGGTGGAACGAATTAACAGAAAGGGGCGACGGAATCTCGGAAATTTTTGTCGACTCGATTAAGAAACTCATCGAAAACAAGTTATTGGTCGATATTAGCCCAATTAAGGACCTAGGTGGGATCCTCCGGGCTTCATCGGCTGCTCAGAAACAACAGATGGCTCAACAAATCAATCAACAACAGACACCTTCAGGCCAGCCTGTGGGCGTTTCCGCAGCACCACAACAGATGCAACAACAAACCGAACAAACCGTCGACATCTCGAAACAAAAAGATGCAGACGACGATGAGGCGGAATCGTGTTGTTAATTGAAGCGTTCAATACCTCAATTATTCAAAGACATAATTCTTCAATACAAAATCATTTAGAGCCCAAGTCGATCGAAGGGATCGGCCCGCTGATCTGTTTATTGTTGTCACTTTCCTTTAGTTTTGGCATTGTTTTGATTTGCTCTGTCTTTTCTTCATTTTCGTTTTCAGAGGAAGTCCCCGTCTTTTTGACTTGCGTTGGTTTGACTTGGTTTGGTGGGTCGTTTGTGCAGAATTGTGTGATTTTGCTAATGATCGACGAATCAAGTGAGACTTCCTTTTTCATCTTCTTTAAGTCCTTGAGTTTGTCTTCTTTCACTTTGGCAGTTTTCGGTTTTTCTGTGTGTAGAACGATGTTTGAGAAGTCGACCTGACCATTTAAATCTAAAATGCCAGCTTTTGAAATGATAGAAAGATGGTCTTCATACAGTGACCGTTCCGGCTTTATCTGAGAGATTGATTGAGAGACAATGCCCGTCTGAGTGATTGAGGGAATAAGCTGCGGTGAATTTGTCTCTCTTGAGTTTTGTCGTGTTGATTTTTGTTTTGTCTCTTTCTCAAGACAAGCAAGGCGGAGTGTTGGCTTTCGTTCTGTCGCACTTCTCAACTTTCGTTTTCGTGTGTGTTTTGTAGTTTCCTTTGGACTTTCGTTGGGGCGTTCGTCCATTTTTTCTGAGATCCGTTCCGAAAGATTTTCGGTTTTGTCTTCCAAATTCTTTTCTTTTTTTTCATCAAACAGTTCCATTTTTTCTCTTTCGCTTTTTTCTTCATCTTCTTTTTTTTGTTCGTTCATTTGGGCCAAGAGGAGGTTGTCGTCAACAGTACAACTCTCATCGTCTTCAGGCGCTTCGACTTTCTTGATTTTTTCTTTCTCTCTTTTTGTATATCTCTTACGTGGCTTTTTTCCTTGGCTCTTC